TTCAATTAAAAATTAATTAAAACCTCTCTACAAAACAAAAAATCGTCTGAATTAGATCTGTATTAGCACATAAAGGGCGGATTATAATTTGTATCTATTTTTCAAAAAGTATTATTTAGTTTTTGCGCAGGTTTTCTTTGGTACCTGTTTGAATATTAAAATTTTCTTGAACATTCCAAATGCTTATTTGAAAGATGATTACGATTATGATTATGATGGCAAAGCCAAACTTTACAGAGAAAAAGAAATGTTTGAATTGAACTTAGTAACCAAAGCATTGAGGAAATTCGTGTGAGTTTACCCGCAAGATAATTAGGTGATATTTGATTTAATCCCTTCTAAGCCATTTTATCCGTAATTGACAAATATAAAATAAAAATGTACACAAAATCATCTTCAAAATCGAATACGGATATAAATGAGGATTTCAGAAACCCAGAATTTAAGTCGGGTTTTCCTCAAAATTGGGCGAGTTTCAAAAGTGCAGAAATTAACCCTTGAGATACTTAAAATCATAAAGAGCTGGGGAGAGAGGGAGCATCTCAGTAGATAAGCTACTGTGCTCCCATTCTTTCAGTGATGGATCCGAGTCCAGCTGTACCAGAAAATTATTTATCTTGTTACACTATGTTATATGTTGTATAATTACACCCTTCCCACCACTACAGTCTCCTACAGTTCAAATCCCAGAAAACAAGATCCCGTGTTTCCGACCTTTATATCCCTTCCCATAGAACTAAGACATTTGAATATTCCTTTATTGTGTGATCCACTGCCTTCTAGAATTCCTTGCCATCTGATATCCGCCATGCCTCTTCCCTTTCAAATATCATCTCTACCAATTCCTCCTCACATCCCAAAATGACGTTGTACAATGATATAAATATTGTGAAACAAATTTTGACTGAGATGAATGGTTGTTGAGATTGTCTAAGTTTTAATTTTAAAAATCAACCCATGCTTATATTGTTTTGTTTTTTATTTTAATTGATTTCTGTTTTTCTTTTCATTTAAACAAAGTTTGTTTTTCTTAAAAATGGTGTTACTTTTTATTTGTTTTAATATACTTTCACTGAAGATACTGTATATATTATTTAATGTTGATTAATGTAATTTTTGATCAGATGTGGTTTTTATTTTTTTGTTAATAATTGTTATTCATAAGGGACCTCGTCCCAGAATAAAGTTTATTTTTTATCTGCCTATCTATATTTGACCTGAAAATAGTACTTTCTTACAATGCAATCAAGCATCCTTCATGGTTTATAGAGATACCACTTATATAAATTTATTTAGTGGTAAAGTTGCTCAAGTATAAAAACAGTTTTAACGCTGCCTAACATAATAATATTGTAATTTCCAAAGTTATAACAACAGCCATAAGCTAAAGTAAGGATCTCAAAATTTAAATTAATTTTTAGAAATTTATAAATGTACCATGGTGTACATACACCGCAATAATAAAGAAAAGTTTCTGAAAACAAAAGTTAAGCGTTTGAGGTAATAGAACTTAGAGAGTAAAATATTTTAAATGAAAATAATCCAATTTTGTTTCACATTTTAGTGATCAGACTTCTAGGATATACAATTCATTTGTATTATTCACTTTTGAAATTTTTCAGTTCGATATCTTACAATTTCATATAAAGGTGAAGAAATATGTCAGATTTGAAAAATATTAAATAATTCAAAAGTCCACAGGAAAAAAATAATAAAGATACATAGTAAACATCAACCGACTAAACATTCTATGAAGGAAGCCTTAAACAATATACTGAAGAAGCCCTCGATTTGTTCAATCCAAGCCTTATATCATTATTTTAAACCGATTTAATATTTTTGAAAGGTTATCCATTAACACCGAAGTATCATATAATATAGATATATTGTATTACAAAATATCGCCTTCCGATACGAATAGTAAGACAACTTAAACACCTCATAAAATACACTATATTTAAATTCTGCCCAATTTTTTTATTAAAGGTGTATTTTATAAAATATTATTATTTGTAAATAGCTCATCTATGATCACCAAACAACCTCCAACCAAAGACCACTACCATTGGTTCTATAACCAACGATTTCTCCATAATTAGGTGTATATAAATATCATCGGTTAACCGCAAACAATCATTAAGTAATAATAGCATTTCTTGACAATAAATCACTTAAAACTTTAAATATATATTTCTCTCTGCTAAATCAAAATGTAGTTTTAATAATTTTAACCATCAAAACTGGGGGATTAAAATAAATTCCAATAAATCCCAACGAATTATCTTTACCCTCCGTCGTAAACCTATGACTTCCTTTCCTACAGTTTCCTTTAACAATACTTCACTTATCCCTGTTGAACAAATCCGCTACCCAGGACTGCCCTTAGACAAATGTCTAACTTGGAATCCTCATACCAGACTGAAACCATAAGAAACAGCTCGACGTTTCCGATTACTTCAGCACTTACTAGACAAACGCTCTAAACTTCCAATTAATTACAAAAGACTCATATACATGACTATAATAAGGTCTATTTCGACTTACGTAGTTGAGCTATGCGGCTCCACTAAACCATCGAATTCCTCTTGTATCCAATCCTTACAATCCAAAATCCTCAATTCTTCCTACTTTGTTACAAATAAAACCATCCATAATGACCTTAATGTTTCTTATGTTTCAGATCTGGCCCAACGCAGATACCTATAGTTCCATAATAAACTTCAGAATCATCCCAACCCTCTCGTTTCTACCTTGCTTCCTCTTCGATTCCTGATAACCCTCCGAGGCGTCTAAGAAAGAAGAAGGCCCCGTGATCTGCTAATGTAGACATATCATTAGAGTGCTACCATTGGGTAGTTTCTCAACAAGTTTTTTCACCTCATTATATCCATATGTTCAAATTTACTAAATGTATATCTTTAATACAGTTATAATATCGTTAAGGAATAAAAACAATAATAATAATTTCATTTGACAAATAAAAGAGTTTGTGCCATTCTGATCCATTTTTAGTGTTTTTGTAGCAATAAATAAGTTCGAAATTTACAAAAACATAGTTAATAGTTTAGCTCCATCTAAAATAGGTTCGTTAAGAGGCGTAAAAATTAATAAAAATTTCATAACAGATATTTAAGTAAAGTAATGCAACATAACTAAAACAAATAAAAGCCTATTCTAAAGAATTTTTGGAATTTTGGAATAATTTTTTTTGTGTCAATAGATGGCATATTTATATAATTTTTTTTTTTATTTGATTAGATTGAATTCATTGTAGGAAAACTTTTAAATGAAACGAACCATTCATAATTAAAAAAACTTAAAAACAATTCCATTTTTTTATCAACTACATAATGCCATAGTCTGGCATTTCTCATACAACAAAGGTATCAAAATAATAAAAATGTATGACGAAATGAAATAAAATACCAGATAATGAAAGAAGAAACAAAACAATGAAACAGAAATATGAAAAGTATATATAATGTCACATCACAAAAATGATAATTAAAAACTCCAATAAAAATACTGTTTGAATGAAAACTTTAAATTTTCTACACATAAAACAGTAATTATACGATACTAAAAATAAATGCTGAATTTCACACAACTACTTTCTTACATAAAAAATAGTTATTAGCTTTCTAAAATTTCTTGTGAATATTTATAGCGATGAGTATTCTCATATATATATATATATATATATGTATATATATATATATATATATATATATATATATATATATATATATATATATATATATATATATAGAGAGAGAGAGAGAGAGAGAGAGAGAGAGAGAGAGAGAGAGAAATTTACTAATATTTTGAAAATAATTTTAAAAACCGTTACAATTCAACACTTTCGTAAAAAATTATCATAAACATTAGAGTCGTCACATGTATATTTCTACGTCGTTTTCTTTCTTGTACACAAGAATGTGGTCAAAGAACTCGTAACACTTGATTAGGCAAAATATTTTAACTAAAATTATTTATCAATAACAGCGTTAAATTAAAAGTTTATTTTTAATTTATATAATTAAATCCTTGATGTATTAATTTCGATTTTACAAATTTTATATTTATTTTGATTTATTTATTTTTAATAGTGACAGATAAATTTGGAAAATTAAATTCGAATACCTTAAAAACAAAAAATTAAATTTATTTATTTAAAATTTAAAATTCTTTAATGGTCTGTAATACAATAACAAAAAATTAAAAACAAATAAAATTTAAGTAAGTGCCGAGTGATTGGAGAAAAAATATTGTAAATAATAAAATATTTTAACATATAAAAATATTTTATTCTGTTAATTAACTGAATTTATGACAGGATTTCTAAAAAAAAATAGATGATTTTTAAGGTTCTAGTCTCTTTTAGCAACTTTAATTCTTGACGATTTATGGTAAAAATATTAATATTATGTGATAGAAAAAAAAGATGATAAACCAAGGTTAAGTTACAAATTTGGAAAATCTCTTTCTCACTTTTTATTATCGCTATTTAGACTTTATTTTTTATATTTTTTGTTAGTTTAAGAACTACATAAAACATTTATTCAGAGGTTAAGTACAAAACGAATAGAAAACAAAAAAGGACATATTCTGGGTTTGTACAATAATTAAAAACAGGACTACATTATGCAAGGATTATGAAGGTTTTATTTTGTCAATTCTACTTAAAAATAAATAAAAATTGACGCAGGGATTCATTGAAGCATTGTTCGTTTAATGGAAATTTTTATAAACAGAAACTTAAAAAAAAAAAAAACTGTTACGTAAGAGATCTAAAAGATGGGAATATCATTATCATATACTAATACACAATAACTCTTATTGAAGTTAAATTCAAAGTACCATCGAGCAAATCACATGTTCCCCGCCATTACCTATCAGGTAATACTTATACATTATATAGCATTAGGTATATAATGTATCCACTATATGTATATTATATATTAAGATATATATTTATGTATGAAAGTACTCGTACGTACCTCTACAGTAGCCGGTCGCAGTAATGTAGGTTAGTGTGGAAGGCGAGGGGCTGGATGAGGCGGGACTGGAGGCTGCCGCCATGGCAACGGGGTGGGGGTAGATCTATATTTCGAGAGGGGGGGGGCACCTCGGGACTGGAGATCCCGCCACCAGGTCTACCAATCTCTGCAATCTCTTCCTTCTCGATTCATCGGCATCCTCACTTCAAATCGATTATCTGCATCCAAAAAAAGATTTTCAGAAAATGATTAACTGAACCAATATCACCTAAAACATGAAAAAAATAAAATTAATTAATTTACAGATTTAGAAAAAATATAGAACAGAATAGAAAACAAACTTTATTTGAGATTCAAGCAGTGTATACACTATTGTCCACAGGCGGATCTACGGGGGGAGGGGGAGCTTCCGGGCCGAAGCCCCTTCAAAACGGTAAAATATAACCATGTTTAACAGAAAAAATATTAAAAACTATCTCTTAAAGTATTCTTGTTCGTGCAATTATATTTAATAGGACTTCAAGAAACACTTAAACACTATTTCATATAGATAGTTAATTTCTTTCTTTTTTTGCAAATTAATTTTCGTTATATGTATATGAAAAAAAAAATCTTTCGGGCTGAAGCCCCCCCCCCAAAATTAAATCCTGGATCCGCTAGTACACAGTTTCAAATTGCCGAAGACAAAACTCATAGCCCCGGAGTCAGGCCCCAAAAATCTACCTAATCGCAGGCGAAGTTTTGATTGTAAATTCCGAAAGTGTATGTTATTCTGAGTAAAAAGAACCTTGTCTACAGTTCCAGAGCTGCTGCCATACAAGATGGCGGCTGATTTAAAGAATATTAGACCAGTAATTTGAGGATCGAAACGGGAAATTGCGAATTATGTGAGAGAAGTTGCTATTTCTTAAACTTGTATATATGGACATAGGCATGTTAAAAACATAATTGCTAATGCAGGCCACCAAGAGAAAACTTTTTACCGCTAAAAACTCAGATTTGTCGATATATTTTTGTTTTTTCGTCCATAAATCCTTACCTTCATTACTAATTTCTAACCATCGGGAGATTACCGATTTTGTTCTGAGTAAGTAACCTACATTAAATTAGTTGATACTCAATGGACGCAAAATTTGATGCTCTACAACTTTGATTCTATGTTTTTTTCCTCTTAAGGAACTCATTTCCAACAGGTCCATTTATAGTAATTTGTCTCAGTTTTTTACAAATTTGGTAAAAATCAGCGTTGGTTGACCGTGGTTTTATACCTTACCACGTAACCAAATTATAAAGTTTATGTACTCGTTCTACACAAAATTTAACGTCCTTTAATTTATTAAATAGTACATTTTTTCGCTTTGATGCGTCTTTTAGGAGTTATAGGTGAAATAACAAAAAAAATCTAAAACATCTGACTTTTTTGGCTGTAAAAAGTTTTCTCTTGTTTGGTAAAAAAAGTTTTGGTAGCCTGCGTTAGAATTTCGGTTTTGACATATCTAAACCCATATATACAAGTTTAATAAATAAAAAATTTCCTCACATTTTTCATAATGGATATCCAGTTTCGATCTTCAAATTAATGGCCTAATATTCTTTAAATCAGCTTTCATTTTTGAAGGCAGCTGCTCTGGAATGGCAGACAAGGTTCTTTTTACTCAGAATAGCATATACTTTCGTAATTTATGAAAATAATCAAACCTCCGCCTGCGATGAGTTCGATTTTTGGGTCTTGGCTCCAAAGCTATTAGAGATCAGTCGGTTTATGATTGCCTTCCACCTGCCCTCGTGCACATTCCAGAGGCTGCCGTACAATACAGACGTAAGGGGAAGGAGTGCCGATAAGAGGAGCAGAATAGGGTAGGGTAGAGTAGCATGGGTAGATTGTGGAAGATGACGGGTACGATGGAATAACCTAATTATCCCTATTGAGAACAGGTTTTGGTCAATAATAATACCCAGGTTTATAAAAGAAGAGTTGAAAGTGATAAAATGATGCTTTTAATCTCAGAATGTTCAAATTCCACGCATATAAAAAAATTATAATTGAGATGTCTAAATTTGATCATTTTAATTAAAACTAAAATTAAAAGATATAGGAGACCCCGTTGGGGAAAACAATCTATGCTTCCCCACCAATTATTTACTTAAAAAATCTGGTGTGCCCATTTTTTATAGTTAGTGTCGATAAAAAAGAGTTAATTTTTTTTAATAAACCATATTAAAGGTACTTTAGAGGAAGACGTATATGGATATTGGGCATTTCAGCCCTAATCAATTATACAATGATACACCGAGTTTAAGCAAAATCGTTAGAGCCATTTTTAAGAAAATTGTAAAAATGTGTTTCGCCGTTTATATAAAGTGGCACTTCCGGTAAACTGATTTTGAGGAAAATGTTGCTGTAGCATCTGAGGTATATACAAACCTTAAATATGCAATGTCACTTTCGTACGACTTTTCGTTTTTAAGCTAGACTGATAGCATACACACAGATACAGACCATTTTGCGGGACTAGGTTATTTGGACTCTGGGGACCTCAAAACGTTTATTTCTGTTGAAAACTCAGATTTGAGAATTTTCATGATCGCAATACTTTCCCTTACTATATATTACATATACAGGTAAGTGAAAGTAATAAATTGTAATAACCCTGGTATATACCTACCTGGTATAAATCCAGTTTATTACACTGATCATTTTATGAGACTTAGATATCTGAAGTCAAATAACCATAAAACGTGTAGGCATTTCTATTGAAAACTTAGATTCGAAAATTTTCAGTAGTGAAATACTTTTCTTATTATATGTTCCTATATAGTATAAAAAAAAACCGCATATTTCATATTTTATAAACTAGATTTTTGTTAAATTTTGATTCTAGACTTAAGACAAAGATATAATGATTCAGATGGAGAGATGGATGGCTACATAGCTGACTGCTATTTTAAAATTATGAAAACGATAAATAGCCAGAATTTGAAATATAGGCAGGAGTTTCCAGAAGAGGGTTTCATGACGCAAGTTGCGCTATCAAAATGTTTGAGGAGAACACATTTTGAAAGGTTTTTGAATTTAAAAATTTCAAACCAGAGCACAGCAAATGCAATTGTATAAGATCTACGATTTTTTAAATAGTCTATTTTCGCTTTCACTGTTTTTAAGAAGAGGAGAGCAATAAAATAACTTGGGTGGGAGGAACGGAGGAGACATGCGCCATCAACTTGGAGGGGATGGGCACTCTTGATGGTTAAGCAGGCTTTCCGACGTTTCGATCCAAGCGTCGTCTTCAGGGCAAAGATAACTTCCTAGTCCAACGACAAGAACTCTTAATTAAGAACTCTTAACGACAAGAAACTCTTGGTTACAGTTTTTGTTGGTACACTAGACAGTAACCATTGTCCTAAGGATAATCCACCGTCGTCGAAACATTGACAAGCCTAATAAACCATATCTAGACTATAAATCATGACTACTTCATACAATGTTTTAAATAACCTTATGGTTTGTATTTCTAAATAAGGCCGAGATTGACCAAAAAAGCTCTAAATTAAAATTACTTATAAAATTGTTCTTAAAAACTTTTACAGCGTGATGGTCAATATACTTCGATAATTTAATATTTTATCACAATTGAAAAATAAAAAAAACAGTTAAGGTTTGTGCTTTAGACCAACGATAGAAGTGAAAATATCAACAAGACGAGATTAATAATATGAAATCTAAATTATAAATAATAGTTCATTATAAAGAGGATGAAATGCTGAACATTTCTCTCCCTTGCAGTTAACAGGTCCGATTTTTAGTTTCTGAGATATTTTAATCCATATCTTTAATAAAACTCGTTATAATTTGGTTTTCGACACTATTTTTTTCCTTTTCGTCTATCTATCATTGGGTCGCGTAAAGAAACAATTTTGTATAATAGCTCATCACAAAGAGAATGAAATGGTGAACATTTCCCTCGATGACAATTTGCAGATCTGATTTTTTAGTTTTGAGATATTTTAGTGTATAAGTAAAAATACTTGAATTAGTCCACCCCAGCCGACTTTATCCTAGCGTTACGCATCGGAGATCTGACGGTTCAATCTAATTCACTCCCCACAAAAAAAAAAGTACTAAACGCGCCTAAAGAAGTTTTCTCTTACAAAATCAGAGTAATGTATGTGAATGATTCGAAGAGATTATAAAGCTACAGCACAGACGGATCAACGGCTGGGAAAGACTTTCGGGTTGAAACTCCCGCCCCTCAAAAAAATGATAAAATGTAACCATGTTTTATAGTAAAAATTTTAATATACTAGTTGGCCCATGCGAATAATTCGCAGAAAATTTTGTTTAATGAAAAAATAGCAAAACAATATGGAAATAAGTAGTTCGTATGTATTATGTAAGGAAGGAATTAATATTTTTTCCTTGGTCGATTACAATATTCCATTAAACATAATAGACCAAAATATTTGTACAAATTGCTTTGCTAGACCTATTTTTAAACGCTGACTGGAAAGATAATAAAAGTAATAAAGGGGAAATAATTCCCCGATCATGGGATCTTCTAATTTATTAAAAAAAATAAAATGTAAGAACAACCGAATGTCTTTAAGAAATAATAAAGTTAATATATCAGCCAGGAAATAAATGTAGTAGACTATTCTACTCCTAAATGCAATATCTTTAAACAGGAAGACATTATTAAGTATACCAAAACTAATGGACTGTATCTTTCTTAATAATTGTCCGATTTTTACGTGGTGTTTTTTTTTTTTTTTTGTTTCTAGGTAATTTAGTAATCTTTCTAATTAGTATGGGTACAATAAGAAAAAAATGCACACTTTTTGAGTTATTCACAAATAAAGTTTCTTTTCCTCCATAACTTTTTTTCCGGAAATTTCGGGGGATGGGACTATTTTTCCGATGTGAAGGAGAAGAATATCTTCAAAATGAGTGGTCAATCATTATATTTGATAAAGAATTGACGAAGTTATGGCGTACGACAAAAAAAACACCTTTTAGAAATAATATATAGGACAGAAGAGCTGTGCTGAGACAGTCGTCATGGCA